ATTTTTATTTATTTATTTATTTTTGGTGCTTCGGCTTCCCAATTGTCTGAAGGACAGCAACCCGCCCCCAGGTTCAAAACGGTTGCCTACCCCTGCTCTAAAGTGTTGGGATTGTGTGCTCCTGTGAGGCAAGAGGTTATGCTGACCGTAGCAGTGCTGTTGGTAGGGCCTCTCATGTCAGACAGGCTTTTGTTGAGGAGCCAGAGTCAGGGCAGTTAAAGTGGACTCAATTTGCACTATTTCTGGCAGTCTGCAAAGGCCCTAAATGTGCCAAACAGCTACTGGGCGGCAGCAGTACTGGGGTGTGACACCAGTGGAGCATCTCTCAGACAACAGCAGTAGCACTATAGCTAAGGAGTTTATCACATGGGGGGAAATCAGGGATTTAAAGACTCATTATCTCAGGAAGGTCGCGCGATCGTGGGAAGATTTTCACACACATCGCAATTAAAGAGGACTTATCCTGGGAATAAATCAGCAACAAATCATTCACGGGATTTCCCCATGAATTATTTGTTGCTGGTTATTCCCTGGTTATTCCCAGGATATGTCCTCTTTAATTGTGACGCCGTGTGAAAATCTTCACCACAATTGCACAACTTTCACAGGATAATGACTCTTTAAACCCCTGATTTTCCCTGTGTGATAAAGTCCTAACATTTGTTAGTACTGTGCAGAAGGAGGTGTGGTAAGCTCCTTTTGAATGTCTTTTATCATGAAAACCCAAAATGAAACAAGAGCTAGTGCCAGAAGATGACACTCCCAGGTCAGAAGACAATCAACAAGCTGCTGGAGAAGAGAAGAGGGCAGCAGGTACCGATGCAATTGGACTCAAGCTGAAAGGATGTTCAGCTGCCGATGTGCTCAGAACTGAAAAGGGAGTTCAAAGCTGCACAACACACATCACAGTAAGATGGAATGTGAGAAACATCAATCAGGGGAAGGTAAACATAGGAAAACAAGAAATAGAGCATATAAAGACTGCAATATTTGGGGTAAACAAGCTAAAGTGGACAGGAATGCAACATTTTCAGTCATATAATTACACAGTTTTACTCAGGAAATGAAAATCTAAGGAGAAATGGGGTAGCATTAACAGCGAGGAGAGATGTAGCAAAAGCAGTCAAAGGATCTAATGCAAAATCTAATAGAAAAATATGAAATAATAATCAGAAATAATCAGGTTTGACACAACTTTAACTGCCAAGGCTCAGTGCTATGGAATCCTAGGAACTTTAGTTTGTTAGGGCACCAGAGCTCTCTGAGTGACAAGGCTAAATGACTAACTATAATTCCCAGAATTCCACAGCACTGAGCCATGGCAGTTAAAATGGAGTCAAAGTGGATTATTACTGCAGTGCAGATGCAGCCATAGTGAAACTACTGCTTCCGCCTCAGTTACTTTTAGTCATGAGTGATGAATACCGACTTTAAAAAGTCTCAAAACCATCAGCATTTTTATCAAAATAGTTTGCACCAGTACAAAAAATTAATAGCACTGCTACTTAGCTTTCCAGGCCTACTATGTTTCATCTTGAGAGTGAAATTAAACTCTGTGTGTGTGTACTTTTTATGTTAGCTCAAAGTGGTGTAGTGGTTTGAGCATTGGACTAGGACTCTGGAGACCAGGATTCAAATCCCTGCTCAGCCATAGAAACCCCACTGGGTCACCTTGGGCAAGTCACACCCTCTCAGCCTCAGAGGATGGCAATGGCAAACCACCTCTGAAGAAACTTGCCAAGAAAAACCCCTGATAGGTTCAACTGCCTTAAAATCAACATAAATTGGAAACAACTTAAAGGAACACAACACACAAACATACATACTATGACTCTGGAGAACAGGTTTTGAATCCCTGCTCAGCCTTGGAAACCCACTCAGACCTCAGAGGTGAGTATATTATTATTATTATTATTATTATTATTACATCCCACCTTTCTCCCAACATAGGGACTCAAAGGGCCTTTGCAGACTGCCAGAAATAGTGTACATTAAATTGAGGCACTGCCCTGGCTCAGTGCTAGGGAATCATGGGAATTGTATTTTTTTGTGAGACATTGAGCCTTCTTTGTGAGAGAGCTCTGGTGCCACAATAAATTACAGTTCCCATGATTCCCTAGCACTGAGCTAGTGCAGTGCCTAAATTTAATGTGCACTATTTCTGGCAGTCTGCAAAGGCCCAAAGTCAGGAGTATAGTCAGGGTGAGCAAAGGTCCTCCTTTCCCAGGACACGCCCTACATTTCAGTCTCCTCTCCAGGAAAAAAGTTCCATAAACGTCCTCCATTTTGAGCCTGACTGTCAAGGAAGTCTGACTAGGAAGCACTGATTTGCATTAATATTGGTGTTTTTAACTGTTATGGTGTCCTCCGTTGTTCCCAAATGTCCTACATTTTGCGGTGCCTGATCCTCCTTTGCGGCGAGGACATGGGGCCAACCTGAGCAGAGGAAGCAGCTCACAAAACACAGCATCCTGCCAGGTCTCAGGGCGGCCCTTGTAACCCCCTGAAGCCCCACCTCCCTCTCTTTAAAGCAGTGATTCTCAAACTCTGGCCTTCCAGGGTTGTGGGTTGTTTCGTTTTGGACTTCAACTCCCAGAATCCCAAACCATTCTCCAAGATGGCTGAGGCTTCTGGGAGCTGAAGTCCACACACACACACACAAAAAAAACACGCCCACCCAAACCCCAACACCTGGAAGGCAGGCTAGAGTTTGGGAAGAGAAAACCAAGGTCCTCAAACGAGAAGGCCGTGGAGCTGAGGAGGAGGGTGGCCGCAGCGCTGTGCCAAAGGGACGGGAGGCCCCGCCTCGTACCCACCCAGCGACCCCCGGGGCAAGACCACCAGCGCCATCATCCCCAAGAGCCGTCGAGCACAGAGAGGGCCTCGCATGGCCCCCGGCTGAGGCGGCGAAATGGCGGAGGGAGCGTTGAGGGAAGGAGGGAGGCGCGCGCGCGCGGGCGGAATGGAGGGAGGGACGTTGTTGCCCTCGAACTCTCGCCCTCAGCGCTGGCTTTGACAGGCCGCGTTCGCGACGGAGAAGCTCTGACAGGGCGGCTGAGGAGATTGCTAAGCGATACGGAACACCTCCGATGAATAAAACAACAAGACCCCCACAAAATTCACCTGAAGAGATTCTCACATTATGTTGTCGTGTGCCTTCAAGTTGTTTCAGGCTTATGGCCACCCTAAGGGGTGGGGGGGGG